TGGGATCCATCCACATTGTAACACATATTAGCATTTAGTTTCTTTTATGGATAAATAATAAACAAATGAATAAACATTTGTTTACATATTAATCCATTAATGGACATTTGGGTTAGTCTATTTAATTAAGATAATAATAATCCTTATTAGTATCTTAGTAATTAATCTATAAAAGTTAAATTAATTAATATTTGTTAATATTTTAAAAATATTTTTAGTTGCAGTTGGACACAATACCTTTATTTATTTATTTGTTTGTTTATTTATTTTTATGTGGTGTTGAGGATCCAACCTAGGGCCTCACCCATGCTAGGCAAGCACCCTACCACTGAGCCACAATCTCAGCCCCAAATTTGTTAATACTTATAGACAACACAGAATATCACTGGTCTTTGCTTCTTAAGTAAAAAGTACATAATTAAATATTCATAATTATACAAGTATTCATATTTATATGTTTACAGAAACTATTATTCACAAACATGCCAAATATTTTATAGTTATTTACCTAGATCTTGATATTGTGAATGGTTTTTTCTGAGGGTTTGGTATATAAACTTTAATAGTTTTTCCCATTGTCCCACCTATGAAATTTAAATACAGCATAAAATATATAATTATATAATAAGAAGAACATTATAGCTATAATAATTATAATATTAATTAATATAATAATATATTAGCACTAGATCATGATTTCCAACCTATTTCAATGCACCTATGTCAATTTCATTTAAATGCTTCCAGAATGAGTATGTGGGACTTAATGGGTTAATGATGCATCTTTTTATATAAAACATATAAAAGTTAAAATTGTTTTGTCAGATACGCTCAATTACTATCTTTATGTAATTTTATCCTTAGTTGTATCAATTTGCAATTTGTCTAACACAAAGTAATAGTTTCATAGGTGCATGTGCACATGGATTTAGCCGAGTTCTTTTAAAACTGTTTGTTTCTGCTTTGTGTGTGTGTGGGGGGGGGGATGGGGGTATCAGGATTGAACCCAGGGGTGTGCTATCACTATGTTACTTACACAACCTAGCTTTTTAAATTTTTAAATTTTGAGACAGAGTTTCAGTAAGTTGCCCAGGCCGGCCACAAACTTGCAATCCTTCCTCAGCCTCCTGAGTCAGGCCCAGAGCCTTCTTGTCTTATTTGCAGTCTTCAAGAGAATATCTGTGGTCCCATAGATCTGGTCAGTAAGTCAAAGCCTGCCACCACAAAGCCACACTGTAGTGGCAGTAGGCCATGGGCCATTTTGTCCAAAGGGATCATTGCAATGACCTTAAACAGGCTTAAACTGGTATTAATTTTACCTGTGTTGATGACCATACGTGAGACCTGCTGACCATGAGGAGAAGGAGAGGAAGAAGAGCTGCAGTTGTTCTGGCCTGTCTGCAAAGCGTAACCCACAACACCTGAAGCAAATTACACTACATTCCCGTTGCAGATATCAAATCAAAAAGCCCTGGTGTCTTCTCTAATAATAGCCTAGTCATTGTCCCAAACCTGAGTTTCTTGTCCAGTGAAACTTAGACATAGAAAACAAATACTTCACTTTTCCTTTTGTAATGGAACCCAGTTGTATAAATAGAGAAAAAAAATAGATAACATCCTTTAATAACTGATATCTTCAAGTTTAAATTTTATACATCATAACAATGTGTTCAGGAACTAAATAAATGTTATCTATTTATAAGGTTTGGTTTTCTGTGGTGTCCACATTTCAAGTGCTCTATTTTCCATTGTGATGAACTGAACTGGCCAAAGTGATACTCCCGGATGCATGCAAAAATAGTTACATCCTTTCTTGTCTGATTCTTTATAGCAAAATTTGAAATATAAGGCAACAAAAATAATTTCCATCAGTATCATTTGGGACTACTTTATATAAAACTATCTGTATGCTGTCTTAGCATTTTTCCTATCAATAAATATATTCCTACTAGACCTCAAAAACTATGGCTGCTTTCTTCTTTATTGTGACCACTGCAAATAAAAGGTATAGAAGAAACCACAAAGTTACAGGAACATTTTTATAAATATAAAGTGTTATGTCAGTAATAATATTCTTAAAGAAAAACAGATTACTTGAAAACAAGAAGTGGGAGACTACTTTCAGATGGACACAATGTCTTCTTCCTTTTTATTTTAATTAAAATGAATGAAAATAAATTGAGGTTAGAGAAATCATGCTTTACTTCCTACTTAGTCCTATAGACAATTCTACTAAGGACTGAATGGGCAAAATTGAATAAAGGGTCTTTTAAATTACACTTCTGGATTTTATGACATGATCTCATATCCCACCAGGACAATGTCACAAAAGGCTACAGGAAATTGCCCTGTCCCGTGGTACAACTGTAGCAATCCAAATGCACATGACATTAAAGGGTTCAATGACTTTACTGTTTCAAAATGTCCCCTGAAAAATCACTCGCTGTGATATGTAATTTGAGTTATCTTAGAAAAAAATGTCATTTTAGTATGAATCTAACATAATTGTCAAAATCTAAATGTCTAACTATGTGGGACACATATATTTATATTTTATACAAAGTAAAAGCATGTAAAATGCAAATAACAGTGTATGTATTAAAGCCTTGTGAAAAGCCTTGTGTTCTCTCATAGAGAGAGAAGTAAAGGTGCTCAATATTATGTAAGTGCCACGGGTCATCTCCACAAGCGCATGGTGCACACATGTTCTTTCCCTGAGCCCCTATTACCTCTCTCCATGCTGAAACCAGAATAGATTTTCTAAGCATAGTGAGTTTGTGTTATTTCCTGGTTTAAAGATGGCTTTCCCTGAAAGTAAATTCAATTCATTCTTTCTTAGCCATAAGGATCAATATTTCTGACCTCTGCCTACCAGACTACATTCACCCTGTATCACTTTGAACTTCTCTCATGGTGTTCTAGCAACACTATGCTTTTTAAAAAATTGTTTTTAACTTATATATAGAACACTAAAATGATACACATTAATGAAATGCCATGCAATGTTTTGATACATGTATAGACTCTATAATATTCAAATCAGGTTATACACATCTCCTCAACCATTTATCATTTTTTTTTATAGTGAAAACCTTCAAACTTCTTTTTTCTAGCTTTATGAAATGACAGTGCATTATCTATAGTCATCCTCCTGCACAATAGCACACCAGAACTCCTTGCTCCCATTGAACTGCAACTTAATACGCACTAATCAACCTTTCCCCATCCCCACCCGCTCCCTGGCCTCTGGTAACCACCATGCTACCTCTCAACTTCTATGAGATCAACTTCATTAGATTCCTTATACAAATGACATCATGCAGTTCTTGTCCTTCTGTGCCTGGCTTATTTCACTTAACATAATTATCTCTGGATCTGTCCATGCTGTTCCAAACACACTAGGATTTCTGATCTTGACATAATTAGCTCATTTGCACCCACGGGCTTAGGATCGCCCATCACTCTCTTATCACCTTCCTTTATTTTCTCTCTAGAATTTATTTTCAACTGAAAATTTATTATATGTCCAATATTATCTTCTCCAACCAGATTTTAAAAATAGGGATTTTACCTGACTCATCTAATTCTTGCTACATACTTGATACTAAAATATTTGTGATATGAATAACCATATGTAATGTTCAATGGATTTGTATCAAAGTTGGCTAGAAGACATCTCCATTGAAGATTCAAATAACTATGGTGAAAAGGAAAAAAATGAATAAGGATCTATTCAGGTTAATTGTTTAAAACAGTCTCATATTGTCAGTGAATTCCAATACCCTCACTAGGAAAAAAAAATACTGGTGATAAAGCTGAGAGACAAACAAGGTTAAGACTCAGCAGGACTCTAAGTAGAAAGAAAAAGGCTTGTACTGCTGATCTTACTTTAGGATTCTATGGGCACATGAGAAGTAGAAATGTTTTATTAAGCCAGTATTTTATTCTACTTTTAAAATTTATTCCAAGAACTAACACAAAGATACTTCATAAAATATACCAAGATCTTAGTATGCACATACATATAAATGCACATATAAATAAATGAAAATCTGACAGCCAGATGCTATGGTCCATGTGTGTAATCCTAGAAACCTGCGAGGCTGAAGAAAGAGAATCACAAGTTCATGGTAGCCTGGGCAACTTAGCCAGACTTGTTTCAAATTTTTGAAAAAGGGTTTGATATAGCTCAGTAGCAGAGCACCACTGGATTGAATCCCCTGTATCACCACCAAAAATAAATAAATAAAAATTATACCTGGGTATGGTGGTACATGCTTATAATTCCAGCACCTCTAGAGACTGAGGCAGGAGGATCACAAGTTTGAGGCAAGCCTCAGAAATTTGACAAGGCACTAAGGAACTTACTGAGAACTTGTCTCAAAACTAAAAATAAAAAGGACTGGAGTTGTAGTTCAGTGGTAAAGTACACCTTGGTTCAATCCATATATATGTGTGTGTGTGTGTGTGTGTGACACACACACACACACACACACACATATCAGCCAACACTTATATTCTCAAAATCTAGTTTTATCATGCTTCTATATAATATGTAGGTATAATGTTTATTTTTAAGACTACCATATGAACATTAAAATTATTTTACTTTTAAATATACAAACACATGCATGCACACAGAGGTAATATAAATTAGGGTCTTGAACAAATTAATCTATCTCAATTTTCTCATCAGCAAAACAAAGATAATACTGACCTCATCAGGTTATTAAAAGTAGTAAATAAGTTCATACTTGTAGAGCACCTAGAATCAATCACGGTAAATAATAGAAATTAAGTAACTTTATACAAATGAATTTTGAAAATTGCTTTAAATATATGTATCCACCATCACACTGTAGTTTCTATAACATGCATACGACTAGTAAATATCAATAAATATGTCTGTATTAATCTGGAAAAGGAAACATGAAAATTTAAGAGAAAGTGACATAAAGAGCAAATACAGAGAGTTTAATGTAGTACTGATAAAAATAATCCATTTATAAGATTAAGTTAATTTATTCACAAGAGAGAGGGGGATCACTAATAGCATTAGGAAAACATTAATGGTTGAAAGCACTTTCATATAAATTATCTCATTTAAGCTCTGTAATTATTCTGACTGAAATTTAACATGTTTATGGAATTTACTTATGATCACATTTCTAATAAATCTTTATGTCATTCCAAGTCCTAGCCAGGTGATGCTTTCATAGCACTTTATATCTCTTTCCAATTTGCTGAAGAAAAAGCACAAAAAATATGGCGGTTATTACTTTATTATTTTGATGAATATTTATTGAACACATACTATGTACCAAGCATTATATAAATACAGGAGATACAGAGGGTTTTTTTTTTAAAAAAGAAAATCAAAATTCCCTGCCCTTGGTAGAGTTGATATTCTCTACATTTTAGTTCAGGAAACTGAGATTGAGGAAGATCAGTGAAAAACGGAGTCTTTAGATGAAGGCAAATGCTAAGTAGAGTCAAATAAAGAAAGAAGAAGGAGATGAGGTATGCCAGGGAAATTAGAATCTTACAACTTTCATATCATGCTAAGTATGTTTAGGGAAAGTCTCCATTAGAAGGCAATATTTGATTAATGGCCTTGTTAGCCATTGCATATCCCTATTAGCTCAATACCAGCAAAGAGAAAATCCAAGTAAAAGAGTCCCTGGAATTTTTAAGTATATCAATGAACTGAAGCCAAAGGAGTAGGAAGTGAAGTAAGACATAGTCAAGAAGGCAATGGGAGGGCTGGGGTTGTGGCTCAGTAGCAGAGCTCTTGCCTAGCATGTGTGAGGCACTGGGTTCAGTCCTCAGCACCACATAACTTAAATTGTTCTTTGTATCACATCACATGCAAGTGAAATGGAAGCTGTGAACAATTTCAGTCAATTGCGGTGCCAGGAGATAGTACTCAGAGCACCTTAAAACAACAGAGGGCAGGACTTTCCTCTCTATCCTAACAGAACTAACCAGGGTCACTCTATCTTAAAAAGAACCAGTCTTACAGATTTTCTTCCTCCAAAGAAAGAAGCCTAAATTTGCTCCAGATAGATTCTATATTGCTATAAATTCATTGTACTTGTTTTGGAAGGGAATCAGAAGCAGGACATCAAGGAATTGGCCTAGGATTATTTTTTATAATCATCACTATCATAATCCGCATGCTGGTGACTTGCCAAAATCTCCAGCCAAGCCTCCTTAAAGCATTTATTTACCCAATAGTATGTTTATAATTTTAAAATAATTCTGATAAAATTGAGACTTGTATTCTTCTTCCCTTCTACTTAAAGGATGAAGGCTGCTTGGATCATGACAGGAACTCTAATACCCATAAAGTTACATGGTAGTGGTTCCAACTGGGAAAGGGTTAAGCAATTAAGACGGTGAAGTGTAAAGATTTAATGTAAGAAAATAAGAAGTATACATTTGAATGTATGTACTGAAACCACAATATTCTTTTTTCTTTTAACCTGCTTTCTATTTAATCATTCAAGTTTAATATAAACAGAAAAAGAACAGATACACCCACAGAAATACTGGCTGAGTGTTTTCCAGTGATTCATTGTGTAAGCACATTCACCAATATATTTTCTCCACTACTTATATCACTGCTGATCAAGTCATGCTCAAAATACACTATTTTTGCCATCTATAAACTGACACAACAAACCAAAAGATACAGATGATCTATTGAGATGACTGTCAGAAAAACATTCATGAATCGGTCCCAAATGCTGTCTAGAATAACTTCTTATAACAGCAATGCCTATATTTCTCTTCATGGTAAAACCATCATATTTATCATCATTAAATAATAAAACAAAAAATGTAAAGATAGCTGAGATTAAAATTGTCTTGTAAAGAGGGACTTTTTTGGGTCTCAAGTTATCCTTTTAATCAAAGTTCTCTAGAATATGTTGCTGTTTAACAAAATAATCACAGAATATCTGCTCTTCTGCTTTAATCCACAAAGTAAAGAATAATCCTGGAGATAAAACACAAAATATTAAGTTTCTAAAAAGTTTTCAATACCAAAAAATAAAACCTTATTCTTAGCATAAAAGAGAGAAAAATATGTGTTCTTTTCTAAATCAGCACAGACACATTTACCTTATAAACACTGATACTCTAGGAGAAAAATATCGTTCATTTCTCCTAAGTTATACAAAGAATCAAGAGCAAGTGTTAAGAATGAGATAGAAATGAAAACTCTTCAAAGCAATAACAGACACATGAAACACATCCCAAAGGGAAACAGGAGAGCCACAGGAAAGAAATAAAGTGAAGTGAATACAACCTCACAACTAGCACAAATCCCTCAGGAATTCTCCTAATACAAACCATTAAAGCCATGTGTTTAACATTTGATAAATCCAAGTTCTTCTCTGTCAAATGGGGAAGCTTCAGGCACAATAAGCATTAACCTGATCCTATAAAAAAGCATTGTATCATCTGTCTTTACATTTCATTGCAAAATGACTTTACAAACATATACCTCCAAATTCTGCTTCTACATTTCGTTCATATAAGTTAACAATGGATGACTTTCTTGTTTGAATGTAAGTTCGATGGATTTATTCTGTTAAAATATGGTCTTTGCAAAACATCATGGTTCTGTCTACATAATGAAAACATCATAAGCAATCTCCTCCATGCTTTGCTCTGCACATCCATTTTTAATCAATCAACATGGCAGATCTAAAAAGGTGCAATGAAAAGATGAACTTCTCTGGTATCTTCACAGCAGAAATGTTGCCAAACATATGTTTCATCCTCCAGAAGCTGCAAGATATAAGAATAGAAAAAATGTTCAATAGGAGTGTGGCATAACACAAAGATGCAGAACTTAGAAAGCAGAGGCTGAGAGTCTTGTAGAACTTTCATTAACTGGCCTTGGCCAAGCCATAGTCTTACTTTAGATTTCTGCCTTTCATCTGTAAAATGAAACTGTTCACTAAGTAGTCTCTAAGACCATCTCATCTCTATACATAAATCATTCCATACATCTGCACAACACGAAGATAATCAACTAAGACTGTAAATTCCAAATGTCTACCCACCCCTGCCCAACTTCTTATTGTGTGCCAGGAAACACTGAGGTAAATCCCAGCAAACTATTTACTCATCTACTTCTTGTAAAAACTCTGTGAAAAAAGGCATGATCATTGTTACCCATTTTCCAGGTGAAGAAGCAGGGAAGTTAAATACTTTGCCAGAAACTGTTTATTGAATCTAGAAAAATAATTCATAAAAACTCCATTCTCAACTGCCTCCCAATAGGAAGAGTAAACAATTTTGCCAAAGAAAAAACTAATTTAACCAAGTCTTTTGAAATAGCTCAAGTACTTTAAAAAAAAAGTGGTGAAGAGTCTTATTTAGGAGTAAAGAATACAAAGTTGATTTCACAAAATTAGGACAAACTCAAATAGAGTAAGACTTCCAATTGTTTCTTTAGCTACCTAGACTTTTGTTGACATACTGGAGAATAGCTGGAATGGTCCCCAATAACCCCTTGAAAATTGAAGAGGGAACCAAATGGGATAATAAAGTCACCTTAATAGGCTCCATACATTGAAATTTTGGAATAAAGCAGGAGATGAAACTAACATTTATTCAGCACTTTATACTGTTTAACAGCTAGATTCATGCCTGTAAGTCCAAGCCCATTCTTGTATCACAATTAGACTTTTCTCTGTCTCTCATTATAATTGCCTCTGTCTGCATGTAAAACATCTCCTTGATTCAAAATTTTATACTATTGGGAATAAAAATATTCATAGCATGAGTACTCAGAGTATTATCCTGCTGCAATATTTTTCCAGGATCTTTCTAAAATCTAGTCTCATCCTAGTTGAAGGTGTTTCTCTTTCCAGAAACATTTCCAATCCAGAAAACTTTCCAGGAGTTTATTTTTATTTTTAAGCATAGGTGAGTTTTATTTTTAAGAGTAAGGTGGAGATAACTAGAATATTTTTTCAAAGATGGTTACTTAGGTAGAATTAATTATGATAAAGTTTCAGATCTCACAAACCACATGGAGGAGGTCAGGGACAAGAGCACACTTGAGAAATTACTGGGGAAAAAAATGTCTTTGTTCAGGTAAAAAGGTATATAATCCTTTCCTTCATGAAACAGTCTGAGATTATAATCTAAAATCCAAAGAATCATGACAGTGCTTTTTGAAGGCTTTTAAAGTTAGTATCTCTTTCCTTTAAAATACCTCAGTGTGTTCTCCCAAGTAGTAAGACAAGATGCTTTTACAATGATTTATATGGTATTTTCCATCCTAACAGCTGGACTCTTTATGTTTGTAGCATTGCCATGTGGCACACTGTTCAAAGCAATGGAGTTTTAGAAGTCTTGAAAACAGGATGTTCACTTAAGGACTCTATAGAACATGTTACAAATTTAAAATATGAAAAGGAAAGGAATTCAGTTGCAAATAGCATGAAACCTGAATCCACTAGCTTTTCCAACATTTTTTTTTAATGCAGTCAAAGTGAGATGAGAAATGTTCATTCTTCCAACTGTCAGCAAACATATGTATGCGGCTTAACTGGCTTCAGAACCCCTCAGGGCTTTCCCCACGGTTTAGGGTCATTTTCCAACAGGTTTAAAGAATCAATAATATTGTTAAGCAGCCCTCATCTTTTGCAACACATCTTTTATTTTCTTTGGAAAGAGGACATGCTTATTTTTTATTAGTACTTGTACTCAAGATATCTGGAACCCTTAATTTACTTATATTTACCCATTTCTCTTCTATATATACAAAAATCACAATATACGTTGAACAAAATATTACAAGCACAAGAGTGGGTTTTTGTTTGTTTTAGTACCAGAGAATTAACTCAGGGGCGCTTAACCAGTGAGCCACATCTCCAGCCAATTTTTATATTTTATTTAGAGACAGGTCTCACTAAGTTGCTTAGGGCCTCACTAAGTTGCTGAGGCTGGCTTTGAACTCTAGATCCTCCTGCTTCAAACTCCCTAAACCCTGGGATTACAACCATGTACTACTATACCCAACACAAAGATGCATTTTGATTACAAGGAAGATAAAATAAAATCTTTTTATTTGTGAGAAAGGGAATTAAAGATATTTTATGCCATAAAGTACTAATTTAAATTATTAATTATAATAATAAACTATTTAATTTTAAAAATAAATAATTTCTTATATTCGTTCCTTAATAACATAAAAAAGTAATTTTTGGACGTTAAAGAAAACTTTCTTAATGTGTAGTGTTCTCATATGTGTACTGTTCTTAATATTAAAATCGTTTACAGAGCAATTATACAAATCAAAATTAAAACTTAAACTACTTTGCATTTGGGGATCTAAAAATTCCAAATGATCAAAAAATACTAGCTTCAATATTCAAACTCGTATTAATTTCTTTAATTATTTGATTCAATTCCTTTAATCACAAACGAATCTAAATATATTCTGGATCATGTTAGAAATAATTTGATATGTGACCAATTCAAAATTTAACTACATTCTCTTAAAAATTCAACAACATATGCAGAAGGCATAACATTCTAAAGAAGATATCTCAAACTACATGTTTTCATAAAATGATAAACTTGGCTAAAGGACACTTATGTCAATTAATTTCCTTCAAAATTGATTATCAAACTGTAGTATCAGATAATGCATTAAAACAAATAGTCACTTGTTCAAACACTGAATTTATGATTTTTACCTGAAATTCACATGTTAAAAGAAAATCAAAACATAAAGAGCAACAACTCACATGTATACAACAACTCACATGTATAACATTCCACACCTAAAAATTCCAATACTAAACTTCTTCACCTCTCCTGCCAATGTTGTATTGTTCAACAGCATGCCAATAGTCAAAGATGACCATGGTCTGACTCTCGGTCCCAGCTTAAGCTTTTATCTTGTCCAAGATCATCCTATAGATCAAGTAATCAAAACAAAACAGAAAAATATTTGAAACAATGTTTACATATATTAAGATTAAAACCTCTGCCATAATCACCAGTGTCTAATTTCTTACAACTTTATATTCTTTCATTCAACTTTTGTGTTCTGTGTATGATCCTAGAAACTACAGATGAAATAGTGAGTTCCAAAGATAATGACTATGTTCTTCTGACTCTGTAACAGGTACAGTACAAACTGGAAACCAATTAGCAAATAAATGAGTTAGGCTCAGGTGTTGGGAGAGTTCTGAAGATATTACAATAGGAAATCTGATGAAGGATGATTGTAGGTAGGCCAGTTAGTTGATGTCAGTGCAAATTCACATTTGAGCTGAAATGTGGACTACGAGCAGGTAAGGTAGAGTCACATAAATATTTTAGTGACACATTCTATACAGCAAATAAATATATAGATAATATGTATACATTTTACATAATGGGTGTATATGTATATATTTTCTCCTAGGTTCACATACACACCCATATGCAAGATGAACATATGCTTAAAAGCAGAAAACAGGGCATGATTTTTGAAGGGTAGTATGCAAGGCAAAGGGAATAAGGTAACAATATCAAGTCAGAGAAAATGACAAGCAGAGTTGTTGCTTATAGTTGGACATTCTTTATGAATGGTGCTTTCTTCTCTGAAAAGAACACAACTAAATCATATACAGTAAAGAGGATTCATTGAGTTCCATGTTGAAAAGAAACTAGAAAATTGAATTGTGGTAATTATTAGAACTGTTCTTTATTACCCTTAGTATAGAAAATTCCTGAGGTTTTAGACAAGACCAGAGCATCAGAGAAACCCCAAAACTCTGTGGAGAGCTATTTGGGAGAAAGGATTTTTTTCTAGATTGGCAACTTCTGTGCTTAGATCTGGCCTCCTGTGTGGGCATCCGGGAGTCCTCTGAGAACTGTCATCTTTTCACACTATAGTGAACCATAGGCTTAGTATCCTCCCTTTATTCTCAGAGAATCTCAGTGTCTTCTACTTTTTCATCCTTGACAGTGGAATAACAATGAATATGCCATTTTCTCATATTTGTTTACTCTAGTTTTTAATCATTAATTTTAGAAATTAAACTTTAAAAATGAGAATTTTTATATAGTTCTGAATAACACCTTTAATGTAAATAATATAAATTCCAATTTATCATGGAAATTCCTTATTTTAATACATTTCCCAAGCTGTAATATAGTCTCAAAACACGCAGATACAGATTAAATATAAATTGTTATTTAAATAATATGGTAAAGCCAATGAAACTTTTTAAAAATTGCACCTAGATGTTGTCATAATTTTTTGAGAGGGGTGGGTAACCAGGGATTGAACTCAAGGACACTTGACCACTGAGCCACATCCCCAGCCATATTTTGTATTTTAGAGACAGGGTTTCACTGAGTTGCTTAGTGCATCACTTTTGCTGAGTCTGTCTTTGAAATCTTGATCTTCCTGCCTCAGCCTCCCAAGCTGCTGGGATTACAGGTGTGCACCACCGTGCCTGGCTATGATTTTTAAATATGTTTTTCCAATTAAAGAAGACACATAATAGTCATACAGAAAATTTAGAAAGCAATGAAATATAAGAAAATAAGAATAAATATGAATTCCAAAAATGGAGATAAGCATGTTCTATATTTTATAATTCTTCACTGATTTTGTACATATTGTACATATTATAGATTTGTGGTATATATAATGTACATTTTATAGTTGGGGACCACGTATGTCCAGCCTATACACTATTTTTATCATATAACTGACTGTAAGCATCTCAAATTGAACATCCTTCAAAATTTCAGACTTAATAGCTGCAAAAAAACCCTGATATTTCAAAAATGTTTTGAATATCTATGTTCTAAGCATAGTATTTATTTTCAATTATTTCCTATTATTAAAAATTAATGCAATAAAAATCATTGAATTCAAATATTTTGCATTATTTCATGGGAATTCCTAAAGGTGAATTGCTAGTCAGTTGTTTTTTTCCCTTTCTTAGCATATGTTATGGTCTGGATATGAGGTGTCCCCAAAAAACTACTGTGTGAGAAAATGCAAGGTTTGGAGGAAAAATTATTAGGTTGTAATCTTAACCCAATCAGTGAATTAATTCCTGATGGGATTAACTGGGTGGTGAATGGAGGCAGGTGGGTTGTGGCTGGAGGAAGTTGTTCATTGGGGGCGTGGCTATGGGGTATATATTTTGTATCTGGAGTGTGGAGTCTCTCTCTGCTCTCTGATCACCATGTGAGCTGCTTCCCTCTGCCACATTCTTCTACCATGATGTTCTGCCTCATCTCAAGCCCCAGGAATAGAGCTGGCCTTCAATGGACTAAGACCTCTGAAACTGTGAGCTCTCAAATAAACTTTTCCTCCTCTATACTTATTCTGAATGGGTCCTTTAGTCACAGTAGCAAAAAAATAAAAATAAAAATAAATTTTAAAAAAAGCTGGCTGAAACAGCAGGTATTGTTAGATATCATTCTATAAGTGTTAAGTTATGCAAGAATCTGCAGTCAATTAAAAGAAATACATCAGTTTTCTGAAAATAAAAGGCTAAAACTTTTACTGTATGAGCTTGATGTGTGATAAATAACATCACAATGTCTAATGTGGGGTCTCTTACTCACTGCAGAGGCTGAAATCATGTTCACAAATTTCTGCACTGAAAGGTTCACCCTCTTGTCCTTCCCATTATCCTCCAGCCAATACAAAAGGTATAATAGCAGGACAGGCTGAGAAATGGTCTTGAAGGAAAATGAAATATTGATAATATATCAGGGTCCATCATACCAATCTTGGTCTTTTTTGTCTTACACCTTTGAAGGAATAAAAATAAATTTCTACTTTGTTTAGGTTACTCCTAGTTTTACTTTTGTCTCATCTCTTCAAAAACACAACTCTTAATCCACACAGCTTGAAAGGTTGAGCATAATGTAAATTTTTAATGATATAAAATAGTATAATTTATAGTATGATCTTATTTTTTGTTAAAGATTGGAGGAAAATACACTAAGATATTGAAAATAGGGTGGTTTGATTAATAATGATTTCTTTAAATTTTATTTTTATTACCTGTTCATTTTTTCCTAACATGTAATTTCACTTAGGAAAATTGGCTTTCTCTATAATATTCAGACTTTTCCATCCAGGAATACAATACTTTCCTCCACCTACTCCATTCTTCTGTAATAGCTACCCACACAAATAACTAATTTGTTTCTTCTGTCTCTACCATACATCCCATTAGGATTTCTATTCACTATTTTATGTTATTTCTATTAATGTAAACATATTCTTTTTATCAAACATTAACTTCTTTTTTAATTGTATAGAAAGGCTGTAGGTAAGTCTAGGGCTGTAGTTTAGCAATCTAGCACCTGTTTAGCATGTGCAAGACCCTGGGTTAAATGCTTAGCATCAATAACAACAACAACAAGAAGAAAATAGAAAGAAAAGAAGGAAGGAAGGCAGTCTGAGGATTTTTGTATACTTATTTTCTGTCTTCCAATTTTATTGAACTCAATCAATTACAAAGTTCTATAAGATACAGTTTTCAGGTAATGTAAGCAAATTATGTAAAAACCATAATGTTGCCTTCTTCAAATCAATCATTATATCTCTTACTTTTGTTTTGAATAATATTATATTGCCTGGAATTTTTGTGAAAGGATCAGAAATATTTATATGAATGCTTTATTTTTACTCAATTCAATAGCAATGACTCTGGAAATAATTAAATATTATCAAATATTATTTTGATTCTGGGACCCAAATAGGTAGTCTTCACTGTGCTGAAGAATGCAGCCCTAGTTATCTGAATTTTAAAGGATATAGCTCTTAAAGTAGTAGCTAATATTTATTTGACACTTTCAGGCACTGTTAGTATATTAGCTAAATTAATTAATTTAATTCCTACAACACATCTCTGAAGTATATACCATTATCATCTGTTTTAAAATGAGGAAACTGGAGCACAGAGGGAGGTTATATGTCTATTAAGATTCTATTAATCTATTAATAGATTCTCCATTAAAGAAACTTATATTAAAATTTTCATATGATTTGTTTTGCCTAAATTGTTGATGAAATTATCACAAAGGAAAAAATTCAAAATTTGTTGCATTTGGGGGTAAATCTTACTTGGTTTGGGAGTGATTCTGCCCATCTTTCCTACTTCTCCATTTAGAACATTATGTCTATATTAATAAACAAAATAGTTCTTTAATTTTTTTCTTGTGATATCTTGGTTTTTATGATTTGAGCATCGAGATTATGCTAGATTCATAATGTGAGTTGGATAGCTCTCCATCTTTTTTTCTGATATAGCTAATATCTCTTAAATACTCTTCAAATGCAGTTTTGACCTTCTCTTTGATCCAAGAGTTATTTAGAAAAGTGATTTAAAATTTTATAGTGGATTTAAGAAGAAATTAATTAAAAGCACAAATGAACAAAAAGTTGTTTGATTATTTAAGCTTTTGTTAATGAAGTCCATTTATACCACATTATTAGAAGAAAATATTGACTGAGTAAATACTATTTTCTAGAAAATTTGAAGTTTTTAAGAAACCTTTATTCAACCATTATTATTCTGCCAAATAATCTATCTGCTCATGGGATACAAAGCTATACAAATTGCTTATACACACATTTAAGTCATGTTAAATATTCACATTTGGTATAGTTATATATATATACTATACTAAATATGAATAATTTTTGCTATTTAATATTTGTATAATATTTTATACTTATATTAAATAGCAAAACTTGTTTATTTTAAATAGCCCCTTGTTTTTTAACCTAATACTTGAGGTTTTAACTTCACATATCACTTAACCAGATTATAAATATTTTTAGGTGACTGACATATCTATTTTTGTATTTGACTTTTTTTAAATTTCTATGTGACTCTGTTCTTTGTTTTTTCCATTGTTTTATATTCCATGGAAATTCC